TCACCAAATCACCATTCTGAGGGACAGAACTGGACATGTTTGGGGGCTTTTTTTGGTGGCAGAGATGTCAACAAGCAGCTGAGGCCTGGGGTTGAGCACAGCAGGCAGGAGCAGGGTACAGGCAGTGAGATAACACACAGGGTTAACAAGCACCCCCTTATCTCCTGCAGCAGGCACAGGAGCTGGGCTGGCCCTCACCCACCCCACGGCTGCTGACAAGGCTGGGGCAGGGGGAAAGCCAAGGAGCAGCTTCTCCTACACCTCTAATAACACAGAAAATAGCACACAGCCATTGATAGGGCTGGGATGGAAACGTGGAATGCACAGGGGAGGCTCTTCTGTGGAAATGAACTTGTTCCTTTGCAAACGTGGTCTTGTCAAAAACTCATCCCTAAAATCCATCTCTGCATTCCCTCCCTGGCCACTGTGCTTTGGCTTAGCTGAAAAAAAATGGTTAAGTTAGTAACTGCTTTCCAAAACAAAAATCATTTTCAGAGTAAGGAGTATTTTAGTTTCACTTTGCCTTCTAAATTAGTGTGTCTGTCTTAAGTTTTACAGCCTAACTTTACAGACATCAGCAATTCCTTTTAAATTTGGTAAGACATTCAGTCAACTTCAAGCAAAAAAAAAAAAATCTTCATACTTGTAAAGTGTTCTAGGCATAATCTGGATAATCTTATTACATGACAAAGATGGTCTGATTCATGGATAACAGCTCCTAATAAACGAACACACCCCTGGTAAAACAAAATCTTTTGTTAGAAAAGAAGTAGAAAAGCCCCCCATATCCTTAAGAGAATTTAAAATATCATCACCAAGCTAAAAACAGCAAGTAAATATTAACTCTGTCAAGTGCAAAACAAGTTTTATTGACCTGTGAGGTAAATATTGACTGAAAGGAAGCAAATATTTATGTGCTGATGTTGAGGGGACGAATCCCCTTCACCACAGCAAACAAGATTTTGCCTACTCCATTTCTGGGTCTGTATTTATTCCAAAAGTTCTGAAAGGAAATATTTCCTTTTCCAGACATCTGCTTTTTAAAACCAAAACTGTCTTTCCTCAGTGACTAAATTGGATGTGCACCCAGAGGGCTGGAATATTGTACAACACACAGGTCTGAGAAATTGCTTTCAGACACAAAACTCACTTGACTAAAACCTGACCAGACAACAACATCCAGGACCCCTCTCTGATCCCTGAAAAGGTAAACAGAAAGTCGAGTTCCATTTGATGAGTTATGTTAGAAGATTAATTTGGGTTTGGAACATAAAATGTGTTGCTGTATATCACACCCACACACACACATATATATATATATATATAATATATATATAATGGTGGGATTGCCAGGGCTGTCCTGCACAGGGCCAGGAGTGGGACTTGGATGACCCCAGTGGGTCCCTTCCAAGTCTGGATGTTCTTTGATTTAACAAGGAAAATACAGAATAATTAAGGATATAACTACTGGCAGGTATTACAAATGGAATATGAATTAGCAAACCCATCTATTCCTTCCTGGTAAATCCCCTCATGTTTACACACACGAGACTTCACTGTTCAACTGAACGATTCACGCGGGGATTCACACGTTCAGACGAGCAAATTAGAAGAGAAAAACCCCTAATTTTGAGAAACTTCAAAGATCCTATTGAAAATTCTGGCACCTTTAAGGACACCCATTAGAGAATCCACACGTCACGATCATTACATCTGCTGACCTAAATACCTCCGTAATGGTCTAACAGCAGCAATTACCACACACCTCCCGAAATTCCTGAACATCTGAATAATTTCTGAGTCACTGCACGGAGCAGATCCTCCCGTGTCACTGCAAGCAAAGCCCGGTTCAGGAACAGCTTCTCCCCTTGGTCCTGATGACCACGGCAGGCGCTCCTTCCTGCAGATAAAGACAGAGGCTGAGCACCCTCCTGTGCAGGGAGCAAAAACTACAGCTGCCCTTTGTGGCTCCGCCGGCTGATTCGCATTCGAGGCTCTATTTTTGCCTAAAAAAAAATAAAATTAATAAAACAAGACTGCGGGATCTAATTGAGCAGCTTTGGAACAATGACATGACAGCACTGCGGTGGAATTGCCCTCAGTTTAGAGTGACTTCACAGGAACGAGCAGGCTGCTGTACACAGAGGGCTTGTAAGATTTCTGGAAACCTCAGGGAACGGGGTGATGTCATTGCAACACCAAAATATCTGCCTCGAATTCCTCCCGAGGCTCCTTGACAAAGCTTGGAGGAGCGGAGTTCAGCAGTGAAACTCAGCCACCACCTCAGGGCTGTTTTCAGGGCTCTGTTCTTCACTGTCTCAGATACAGGAGCTGTTTGCTCGTGCTCAACATACAAACTGAGGCTACAGCGTTTGGAGAGTTGCAGGAGACAGTTTTTGAAAGATGGAGCACTCAAAGCTCGGGAAACATTCAGATTTTAAAGGTTGTTTGAGCCTCTTGGCAGGACTTTCAAATCCTTCAAACAGTTTAAACTAAACCCTCCTAATTTTGCAGAAGTCTTACATGCTCAAGCAGCATTTTGGGTAAAATGAAGACAAACCAATAAAGCCTTTGAATATTCAGGACATTCTGCTATCCTACAGACTCTTACCAAAAAGCCCATTTTTTTTTTTTTATCATATCATTAACTAAAATTGCTTTGCCTGTCTCTGAGATCAGCTCCTTTAAATTCCACCCCAGATGATGCTGCACACCTCCTTTTAAAGCACCAGCTCCTTCTGATGAAAAAAAGCTGATACAAAAGGTGAAGATTGTAATCCCTTAACCTGCTCAGGTTTCTGCAGAGCTCCTTTAGGACACAAAATCTATTCTTCTAATATTTCTGCCGTAAAACAAGCTCTCAGCAACTTCTAGCAGAGAGGAACTGGTGCTGCAGAGGTCAATAGTGAGCTGCCAGGGCATCCCAGGCAGAGTTCCACAAGGATCAGAGTTTGTTCCAATGTTTCCATGTACTGAAAAAGCCCAGGAAGAGCAGGTACACACTGATGGAAAGTGCTAATTGCACCAATTAAGGAGGTACCACCTGTTCCTGGGAAGATGAGAAAGTCTGGGATAATTCTGGGTGTGTAAACACCTGAAAATGAGCCTGGGCACTCTGTGAAATTTATCGGCATCCTGGGAATAGAATCCAAACACAGACTGGTAAATTTATCACCAGGTATTCCATGACCTAATGTGTCCAATGCCCATGGGAAAGGGCTTCCAATTTTCTGTGAATAATCTCCCAAATCCCTCTTGTGTCAGGAGTTAGTAAATCCAGAGGTCATTAATGGCACTAGGAAAACACACCTGTTAAATAACAACATCTCTGAAGAGTTACACACCTTCTAATGAGCTGTGAATTGGAGATAAATCAGCAAGTGACCTGCATGAACAAACACCATTGATTAATAAGCTGCCACGAATTAATTTCATATTTTCAGTGCATGTGGCAATGAGAAACAGTTTGAGAACAACGTGGATTTAAAGCTACACTTGTACTTTAATGCATTTTATAATTACAAAAAAGAAACAGCTGAACAAATCTTTTATATTTATACCCTTCCAAGCAATGTACAGAAGGCATGCATAATTTCCAATCATAAAACACTATTTAAAAATAAAAGATTTATAATTGCTTTCCCTGATTTGAGAAGCAAATTAAGATTTTTTTCACATTGTCCTTCATAATCCAAACACGATGTGAGTGAGTGACTGAGCAAAGAGTGGGAGAATGAACAATATGGCACAGCAGAAGCCAAACACAACAGGTTTGTGTTATCCTTGGAAGGATGGGGACATGGCCGTAACATTTTTTGAGTGTTTCCTGCCAGGCATCTGAAATCTGCATCGGTGCTGCTACTGAGCAGTATTGAGATAATTAGAAAGAAAAATTACACAAATGAGAAAGGTCTTCTGACTTCAGAGGGCCTACAGGAACAGGAATATGTTTAATACTTAAAGTATATTTGTAATAACCAGCCCAGGTTTCTTCCAATCCATCAGCCACAGCCTGAGCAAAACACAGAGGATATGTGACCTGAACTTTCCAGTCGGGAAATTCTAGGCACAGTTTCCAAAAACATCATAAAAGCAGACCAAATTGCCTCCTCAAAACCTACCTCCAAGAAGCACAGAGATGCAGCCAGTGTTTTCGGCTACTTCATTGAAAAGAAAAGAGAAGCTTTGTTGTTAGATGGTGTCACTGAAAACCAGGCCACTTAACTCTTCCAAACACTTCGTTTTCTACTTCATAACATCTACATCTAAGGGCCCATCCTTTCCCTCTCCAGGGGTTACTGACCCCACAGCATTGCTGTAGTCAAACTTTGGAATTAAACCAGCATTTCTGTCCTAACTCAAAACAACACAGCACCGATTTTCAAAGCTGCTTAGATATTAGTCCCACTTTCCGTGTGAGCTGCATACCTAAACACTTTTTCTAGAAAAAATATCTGAGCCAGGGAAAACAGATGCCATTTCTGGACGCAAACTAATTTATTCAAGAGCATATTTCAAAAGAAAACCTGTATCTGTCTCATTCCAAGCCTCTCCCAAGAGCTACAGCAGCATTAACTAGGGCAGCGCTTTCCTCAGGTTTCCTGGGAGGCAAAGCCAATTTCCAGACAGCAGGACTCCCTTAATCGCCACCGACAAGTAATGACACCGCAGTACACATCTACTTTTATATCCATCCCTTCATTTCCTTCCTTATTATTGCCCTCCCAGATTAATTTTAATTGAGGCTTTCAATAAACAGCAACAGGACCCTCCCCCTCGTTTTGGCGGGGTTGAGGCTGAGAGGAGGCGCGCCCTCCTCACGGGCCATGGCGGGGCCAAGGCCGCGACGTTGCCAGAGCTACGCCCAGCTCGCAGCCTTCCTCCTCCTCCTCACTCCTCTCCTTCCTCCTTCTCCTCCCCTCACGGCTCCTCCTCTTCCTCCCCCCGCCGCGCCCTCTCCCACCCCCTCGGCCCCGGCGATGGCGGCGGGCGGCGGGCGGGAGGCGCCGGGCGCCCCATGAGGTACCATGAGGGGAAGGGAGGAAGGGGCCGCCCGCCGCGTCCCCTCACGGCGCGGGGCAGGGAGGGGGACACGGGGACGCGGCTCTGGGGTCACCCTTTCCTTCCCTTCCCTTCCCTGTGCGGGGGTCCCGGCGGTTCAAACCCACCCGAGGGGTTCCCGGGATGAGCCCTCCTGAGGGGCTCCGGGCGGTTCGAACCCTCCCAGGGGTCCCGGTGAGGTGCGGGGGCAGCTCCCGGAGCGCGGGGGGAGCGGCGGCCCCGGGAGACGGGGAATGCTCCAAGGGGCCTTTCTCAAGAGCCTTATTTTAGTTAATTTTTTAGGGGGGAGAACGAAATCTGGGTGCGTGCGGGAGTCTTCTCTGCAATCCCATTTAATAACTCGGTGATTTGAAAGTTTGTGCCAGGGGCGGTGCGATCCTGCAGCTCCGGCTTTTTGAGCACTGAGCTGTCAGTTCTTGCGGAACCCAGACCCAAAACACCATCAGGGCAAATGAATTATCTTTTTTACTCCTTCCTGTAAAAGCATCGCTGAGTAACACTGTAACACTGTTCACTAGTCATTACCATCTCCACTTCATCGGTTTTATTCGTGTGCAAAAAAATACAGAACGAGAATTTAGGTTGTTTTGGGGTATGATGTCATCTTTGGCCAACAAAACAAAAATAGTAGTAGGAGGAACAGCACTTGTAAATATTAGTAAGTTCTCATATTCATGTGTTAAAGTGGTTCTACTCTTAAGTGTTACCTTCTTTTTAAAAGCTAAAGAATTTGAGGTTTGTGCAAATGCATCCAGAACTTTGTTTCTGTATCCCCAGTGAACCTAGCTGTGAAAAGAAGAAATTTCAAAGAGGAATCCATAAGAGTTTGAACAGTAGCAAAATTATTATATCAAAATTCTCGGTGTTTCAATATTACTCCATAGTGACAAGGATTGTGTCAAATTCAGCTTCGAGGCATTGTCCAAAATCATTACTCTGATGTCACACCAGTCCAGAGAAGTTGATTTAACCCTATTTGATCCGAGTAAAGACTCACAGAGAAGCGAAAAAGTGCCCAAAAGATGCCAAAGGAAAGATAAATCAGCCCTCATTTGGCTGCATTTCATTTTTCACTCTTTTAAATGCTTTAGAAAATGGCCTAACCTGGTTCTGCTCCCTTCCCCAGACAGGATAATCTCATTAATCTCATAATGGCCCTCAGTTTTGAGCATGCACTGGCTTTTGACTGGACATGTCCGAGCCAGCGCTCACCAATTAATGGATGCATGGAAATGTCCTCCCTGCTTCCTTCCCATCAGTGTTTGCTCCTTCTCTGGCCCACTGCTGCTGCTATTTTTGTGAAATTATGCAGCACTTCCAAGATCTCTCCCGTACAAGCCAGTGCCGGTCTCCTGTCCAGTTCTGATTCTCACTTTTAGCTGTTCCTAAGGCAGCCAGGAAAATCTGCACATGGAGGGAAGGAAATAATTTGAATTTGGGACACAGGAGAGGGGGTGTGAGCTGTGGAGAGGGGAGGATCTCAGGCAACAAACTCGGGCAGGATCTCAGAGAATCTTGCACAACCTATTGGATTTTTATTTTCCTGAACTATTTCTCTCTTTCTTTCAACTGTTTATTTCCCGCTGTAGGAGACACGAATCAGAGAGAGCCCCGTGGAGCAGCCCCCACCATGCACCCCGCCTGTGCCCATCTCCACAGCATCCAGGGCAGCGGTGGTGACTCCTCCTGCTCCTGCTCCTCGGCCAGGCTGCCTGCGGAGAGCCCCTGCCCCGGGGATGTGCGCATCCAGCTGGGCTCCGGCGCGCCGGAATCCAGGGAAAGCCCGAGCTCCCGGGGCTCGCAGAGCCGCGGCCATGGCGAGGCAGCCGGGCCCGAGGATGCGGCTGCGGAGCCCGAGGAGCAGGGCGGGAGCTCCCTGGCCGAGCTGCGCTGCCTCCTGCAGTGGCTGCACAGGAGCCTGCCCTACCTCCTCATCCTCGGCGTCAAACTCCTCGTGCAGCACAGCACTGGTAGAGTAGAACCAAACGGGCTCCGAGGGAGCAGGCCCTCCTCCCCTCCCCTCCCCGGCCAAGAAATGTACTAATAGCCCTGCCTGGAATGTAATTCGATTTATTTTTAGCTTTATTTTTATTTGCTTTATTCATCAGAAAGAGAGATTTACTAAACTACATTTCAGTGGCTTCTGTTTCCTTTGCTGGCATATGTACAATGTGCTTAATTATCCTGGCTTGAGAGTCTGAGCTATTAATTCTAATTACAAAGACATATTAGAAGTGGCTGCTTTTTAACCCAGTTCAGTGATTTTTTTTTTCCTTTTCATGTTTATAACTGATCCTATTTTCCTAATAGGCATTTCTCTTGGAATTGGGCTGCTAACAACTTATGCATATGCAAACAAAAGCATAGTAAATCAGGTTTTTCTCAGAGTAAGTATCACTCTATGCAACAAAATTCTTTAAGTTAAGCAAGACTTTAACAAGTTAATCCATTTTTGAAAGAAATTTGAACAGACATGATGTTTTATTTACTTAATAATATTAGCTACCAAGATAGAAGTAAAGTCTTAATGCTTCTGTACGGGGGAAGTTCTCAGATAACAAGGTTTCCAGAGTTCAAGGGGGTGTTTTTTCCCCCTCTGACTTTGACTATTGAAATCACTTTTTGTAAGTTATGGATTACCTTCTTAACTCCATTTGTGGGATGCAATAGCAGCTGACAGTTTAAATCTTCAGCTCTGTGTTCACTCCCAAAAGGAAACCTGCTCTTTCTTCAGAGTGGGGGGTGGGTTTTGGTCATCTTTAGAAAAAAACCTTTGTACACCTAGAAATTGGTAGGTTGAAAACACTAAAATTACTGCTTTACCTTTCCATGGAGGTCTCGTGTTTTGTGGGGTCTAAACCCCCTAGGATAGTGTCCTCTGGTAGAGCTGGTGTAGGATAGTGGTGTCCTGTGGTAGAGCTGGTGTAGGATGGTGTCCTCTGGTAGAGCTGGTGTAGGATAGTGTCCTCTGGTAGAGCTCGTGTAGGATGGTGTCCTCTGGTAGAGCTGGTGTAGGATGGTGTCCTCTGGTAGAGCTGGTGTAGGATGGTGTCCTCTGGTAGAGCTGGTGTAGGATGGTGTCCTCTGGTACAGCTGGTGTAGGATGGTGTCCTCTGGTAGAGCTGGTGTAGGATGGTGTCCTCTGGTACAGCTGGTGTAGGATGGTGGTGTCCTGTGGTAGAGCTGGTGTAGGATGGTGGTGTCCTGTGGTAGAGCTGGTGTAGGATGGTGTCCTGTGGTAGAGCTGGTGTAGGATGGTGTTCTCTGGTAGAGCTGGTGTAGGATGGTGTCCTCTGGTAGAGCTGGTGTAGGATAGTGGTGTCCTCTGGTAGAGCTGGTGTAGGATGGTGGTGTCCTGTGGTAGAGCTGGTGTAGGATGGTGGTGTCCTGTGGTAGAGCTGCTGTAGGATGGTGCCCTCTGGTAGAGCTGGTGTAGGATGGTGTCCTCTGGTAGAGCTGGTGCAGGATAGTGGTGTCCTGTGGTAGAGCTGGTGTAGGATGGTGTCCTCTGGTAGAGCTGGTGTAGGATAGTGGTGTCCTCTGGTAGAGCTGGTGTAGGATGGTGTCCTCTGGTAGAGCTGGTGTAGGATGGTGTCCTCTGGTAGAGCTGGTGTAGGATAGTGGTGTCCTCTGGTAGAGCTGGTGTAGGATAGTGGTGTCCTCTGGTAGAGCTGGTGTAGGATGGTGGTGTCCTGTGGTAGAGCTGGTGTAGGATAGTGGTGTCCTGTGGTAGAGCTGGTGTAGGATAGTGGTGTCCTGTGGTAGAGCTGGTGTAGGATAGTGGTGTCCTGTGGTAGAGCTGGTGTCTGGGAGGGATCCCAGCACAGTTCTGAGGCAAGGGCTGCCATGTGTCTGTGCAATCCATCCCTTGCAGGAACGGTGCTCCAGGCTGCAGTGCACGTGGCTACTGCTCTACCTGAGTGGCTCATCCCTGCTCTTGTATTACACCTTCCACTCTCAGTCCCTGTATCACAGGTAAGTGCACAAACACCTCTACCATAAATCACCCAGACATTAACTATCTGCTGTTTTGCTTTAATTGTGCCATTGGTTTGCCTTTCACTTTAATCTCCATTCCTCCCCTTCTGCCAAATTTGACAGGTGCTGTCCTTAAAAACAGTATGCTGGAATTTCCTAGACTCCATACTTGATTTAATGGCATGACTGTAGCCCAGAGAACATTCCTGCCTTTGACTGCCAGCTCTGACCCTTGGGAATACCAAATGTGGCATCCTGGGGCTCTGTGCAGTTCATGACTCCAATTGATTTTCCCCCTTGACCATTCTGTAGCTGCAGCCCTGGCTGGAAATCAAAGGCTCAATGCCAAACTGAGACAGCAAACTGAGCTCTGCAGGATGGGGCTGTGAGGAAGTTCCAACAAAGAAGGTTCCAGGATGGAAAACTTGTCAGAGATCCTCAGTGATCCATTTACAATCAGCAGTTCATTTTCTTAGCAAATGTTCCCCCTTGGTGTAAACCAGGTTTCCTTTTTTAATTAAACCTGCTGTGATAATCTCAGGTTACAGTTTCCTCTAAATAGGGTGCTCCAGTAACTTCTGATACTTCTTTTTGTAGCTTAATCTTCTTAAGCCCCACTGTGGATTTTATGAACTTTTGGGAGGTGCTTTGGATTGTGGGAGTCACAGACTTTATTCTGAAATTCCTCTTCATGGGCTTGAAGTGCTTTGTTCTCCTGGTGCCTTCTTTTATCATGTCCTTTAAATCCAAGGTAAGGAAACAAGCTGTAGTTTGGATTCCTTGTGAAGATTCTCTTATGGTAAAAGTAACTAATTATTAAATTCTACCCAGAGAAAAATCTTTCATTAAATGTCTGTATATAATCCACCACTACACCGTGGGCAAGAAAACCCTGTGGATTTCATGTTCTTCTCTGCTTGGTGCTAAAAAAGGTTTTCAGTCAGATCAGAAACAATTGCTTGTATTATATCATGGGATAAATGGGTTTATTTCTGTCTCCAAGTTGGGGGTTGAAGCAAACCTTTGATTTTCTGCTCTGCAGGAATGTGTACACAGGCAGTTGGCCTGCAGCAGCTGGAGCACAGCAAATTTTGCACATGTTCAACAAGAACTGTCAAGATTTTAAGATCTGCACATGCATACAGCTGGTTTTTTCTGTCTCTTCAAAAATAATCCTGAATTTTCTTTGTTGTTAATAAACTTCAGGAATATTTGTGGCAGATCAAGGAATTTGATGCATAGCTTAATTTCTCAAATCAGTGAGGTTTAATAATTTTCTCAGAAGCTTACACTCACTGCTGGTGTATTTATTTTTTATTTTTATCTGCTCCCCGAGGTGAGGCAGGCAAAACCAATTACATTTTATCTTAAAATTGCAATTACTGGTGCTGGTTCAGAAAAAATAAATTAGCAAGTACAGTTTGATGTGGTAGCATTTGAACAGGGTGTTTTGGGATGTTTTTTATCTCTTATAATGTACCAGAACAAGTTCTTCTGAGGTACAACTGCCTTCTCTAAATACTGATTTATAATCAAGATCTCTTTTTTTTTTTTCCTACAGTGATGTAACATGCAAAAAATTTACTGAGAAATCCATTACACCAACTATGGCTAAATTAAAGAAGGAATCTGGTCAAGAGCAGCAAATTGTGGCATTATCCAGTGTGCATTATAGAAAGAGTTACAAATACAATTTGAAGAAATACTTACTTTATTTCCTTAAAAGTTCAGCTAAATATTTATTATACATGTACACACACAATGTACATGTAATGAACCTTCTTGTCACTTTTAAACCCTGAGTGCAGGACACAACTCTGGCTGTGAACAATTTGGGTCATTCTCCTTTTTCATGTAACTTTACTTTTTTTAATGCTTATGAAATTAAGTCTGACAGCCTTGTTAAGTAGGTAGGCACCTGCCAAGCCATCCCAGTTCAGCCTATAATTTGATTTTCTGCAGTCCAGCAATCAATTCTGTTGCTGTGACTTGGACAGTTGTGAGACTCATCCTCTGATCTCTTTTCCTGTGCTTCACATTTAACTGATCCATTAAGAGAAGAAGCTACTCCAAAGAATAACAATGCATCTTTTCTGTGTATTTTGCAAATCCTGGGAGTTTTAAATCTTGAGCTGTTCCTTTGCATGTCTTGCTCAGGGCTACTGGTACATGCTGTTAGAGGAGCTCTGCCAGTATTACCGTATGTTTGTCCCCATACCAGTGTGGTGCCGTTACCTCATGGCCCATGGGGAGCTGGACACTGCCCTGGGATGGACCCTTGGCATTCTGCTGGGCCTCCTCTACCTCATCCTCAAGGTATGCAAAGCTTTGGGCTCTTCTCAGGTTTTATGTGGAGTTCTTGACGTGGTTTTCTGCAGGAATAATCAGTGGAAGGTTACAGACACAACACATTCCTGAATGTGCCCCTCTGAGCTCAGTGCCAAGGTGCTGCACTTTGCTGCAGCCTTCCAGGAGAACTGGCTCAGGACTGAAAATCATCTTTGTCCAGCACTGGATTGGGATTTCAAAGCAAAGGACACAACCCCCATGGGTCCCCTCACATCAGACACAGAACTTGCAAAAATAAAGATAAAATTACAGCTAAAGAGTCACCATTTTCCAGGCAACTGAACTTTCTCTGCTGTGTCCTGTAACTTGTGAAGTATGCTGTGTGACAAGTTAACATCTTCCTGCTGCCCCTGCTTCTCCAAGAGCCCATCTGCCCCAGTGTAACCAGTTTGGCTTTCAGAATGGCCAGCACTTCCTCATGCTCTGGTACCTTAATTCCAGGACTAAAGACCATTGCAAGGATGCTAATAATGCTGATGCATTTGCACTCCAATGCTTCATTTCAGAACCTCAACACTCTTAACAACCAGACCCCCACTAGGAAAAACTTCAGCCTAAATTCTGCATTTGGTCACATTTCAAACATTTAAAATAGGGTCAGGCTGAACGATTGCTGTGCTTATGTGATTCCAACACCCAGCCTGCAGTGAGACTTGCAGTGCTGGAAGCAAAAGCTTGGGAGCTTTTTAGTTCACAGTGAAAACACCACGAAGCATAACTCAAGTTTTCTTTCCCATTTCAGCTTTTGAGCTTTTTTGGACAATGGAGAAACTTCAGGCAGGTCTTACGGATATTTTTCACACGCCCAGTGAGTACTGAATTCTCTTCTGACAAAACCATAGCCCCAATTCACATGAAAATCCCTCTGGAAATTCCTCATTCCCATTCCTTTGTATTGGGATTTGCTAAATTTGTTTGTTTAGCAATAAACAACTGCATTTTAAATGAACCCCTGTATACTCATTCTCCCATTTCGGAGTTCCTTGACTGAATGATGGTGGTGTCACCTGAACAACAAAATCACCCACAAAAAAACCTGCACATCCCTTCAGATAAAAGAATGTGAAATAATCCTTTTTGTCCTGCTTCTACTTTGAAAATTAGCTGTGTTCCTTTAGGTTAGGGATTTAAGTTTCCCTGACATAGCAGCCCTTATTCCAAATTCCTTTCTGTCCTGGTATTTGGGTGGGGCTTTTTCATCCCCCTCAAAATTCAAACTTGCTGCAAATGCTTTGTTTTGCAGCACTATGGGGTGCCAGCCAGCAAGAGACAGTGCTCTGAATCTGATGATATTTGTTCCATTTGCCAAGCTGAATTTCAGAAGCCTATTCTGCTGATCTGTCAGGTAATGCACATAATCCCAATTATTATTTTTAAATTAAAGAATATTTAAAAATACTGTTACACAAGACAACATACAATCAGATGAGTGTATGTTTGATGATTATTTTTAAAAATCACTGTACAAATAATATAAGTGGAAGAGCTTAGAAGCTCTAAGTTGTCATTCTTTTCATTCCAGCACATATTTTGTGAAGAATGCATCTCTTTATGGTTTAATAGAGAAAAAACCTGTCCACTCTGCAGAACTGTTATTTCAGACCATGTTAACAAGTGGAAGGATGGAGCCACATCTATGCATCTCCAGATTTTCTAAAGCTTGTCAAACAGTTTGGGTTCCAGTTTGTTTGTTCATGTTAAGGTTTTTCAGTTTACTGCACATTAAACTGTAGGTGGCACGAGGAAGGAGTTTCCAAATTCCACATACCATGTATTTAAAACAGTGCAGAAAATGGCAACTTGACCTTTTCTAAGTAGAGAAAACTTTTCAGAATGAATGCAGAAAAAGCCAGCATTGCTTCTCTTGTGACTCTCATAGGAAACAGTCAAATCTTTGAAATGTGCTGCATTACTTCTTAATTCAACATTTTCTTTTAGAAGTTCTGTAGGGTTCCAGGCTGTACTAAACTGCATTCATCCTTCTAACACAACTCAAGCCAAAAGGCCAACCTACTGATTTTATTAAGATTATGAGCAAATTTCATCCTCTGGACTGCAGTGAGAATTAGAGCTGCTTGTGACTCCTGGCATTAAAGATCTTTAATGCTTGCCCAGTAAATGGGAGAAATGAGCTTTTTAATGCACCTGGACCAGCAACTATTTCTCACTGCACCTGTAGATAAGCACAAGAATAAGATATTTCCCTTTTAGGTTCTTGTAGGCTTCTAATGGATCCTTGGCTTAATCTTTTGGCTTTAAACCAACCACTGATGTTAGTTTTTTACTTAGCATTTTATAAAGCTGGTATTTTTAAAAGAAATCTTTAATACTATATTTTTGTCATAATAGGAGCCAGATTTTCTTACAGGGGAGAATCTATTTTATACTCTATTTGCAATTTGTAGCTTGCATAAAAATCAGAGAGAATAAATGCATTTAAATCTGTTTGTTTGGTGCATGTTGAATAAAGGAAGAAGATTCCTTATTGTTTTGGTATTAACTCATGTAAGCACATAACAGCTGCTCACTGCCAGGTGGATTTTTCTGGTTGAAGAAAACAAAAACCCTTTAAATTTATTCATGATTTTTTATGTTATTTCTACAATTTATTCATGATTTTTATGTTATTTCTACCACTAACTTCTGTGTAACCTCACTTTCTTCCCTGATTTTCTTTTTTCACTTTGCCATTCAGATCAGACTGAAAACATAACTCAAATGATTGTTACAGGAAAGTTACATTTAGTTACCATTAACTCAACTTCTCTTGCCTGAGGACATTTAGAAAGCTTGGAAATTCAGGAAAAACAATTAGAAAGTGAAACACTCACTTGAATACCCCAAAGGTGCAGCTCCAAGGGCAGAATCCAGCATTCAGAATAAAAATCTAATGATATGGAAGATTCAAACTAAGAAATATAATTACATCTGGCCTGTAAAGCTCACCAAGGTTATTTTATGGAACACAGCAAAGTGCTGGTGCTTGAAATCAACCCTGATTCTTTGGTCTTTGTCTCCAGCACTGTAGGAACAACTGCAGGAAGTGTGGAGATAGGTCAGAAACAGGGGCCAGGGAGCAATTTCTGTTCTTTCTCTCTTTCTGTTGATGTTTCTATCCAAACCCAATAATATTAACAAAATGTTTTATTAAAAAAAAACAAGAATAAAAAAAGAGATGTTGGTCAACTGGTTCAGATTTCCACTTCATCAATCAAACAAATCATTCTCATCTTAGTTAGAGACAGGGGAAAAGGGAGTACCTGACATCTGGAATTGCATCCTCAGTGATCCATGGGCTCCTCCTGATCCAGGCCAGCAGCTCTGAGCCTGCAGGGACACACAAGGTGATAAATAAATGACAACCAAGAGCCACTTTCTAGGAGCCCAAAGCCCAGGGGAAGCAGCAGCAGGAGCCTCTCCTGGGTCCCTGTTTCTGAGGGAATTCCTGCTCCATTTCCCATCAGAGCTCTCAGCAAGGACAATGATTTACATCTCCTCTTATACTTAGGGCCTACCTACTTCCTAAAATAAAAACAAATAGGTCACTTGGATTAACATATCTTTAAATTTGCATTTAGTTGCTATTCACATCCACCTCATGTAGCTCTTGAGGATATTGAGCTGCAGGAAACTGTGAGAGATGGAAACCAGGGCAGGGATTACCTTTGTTTCTGCTAAGGCAGCTCAGGGTGTTCCTGCAGACAGCTACAGATGGATTTAGCCTAGAAAAGAGCAACTGGAGGAGTTCATATATGGCACCTGCACACAAGGATTTGCAGGAAAAACATTCAGGTAATTTGCTTTGTTCTTAAGGATTTCTCCTTTGGATAAACTGAACTGGGAAAATGGAACAGCAGCAAGCCTGCTGTAGAGACAGAATTGAAATCAACCAAAGCCAAAGATCTGCCCTAAAACCACAACAGCCTCTGTGCTTGATGCACTTTGTGATTAACACTGAGAGCAGGAGGGGAGTTAACACTGAAAAGAGAACAGACCCAAAATCACCTTCAAGTGTACACTTAGAGTGGACTCAAATATCAAATGTTCTCCAGCAGTTCAGCTTTAAACAGCACAGCAAGGAAAAAAAGGGATATTCAAAAGAACAATTGACTCGTTGATTTTTATCTTTTATTATGAGCTAATACCAGGATGACATTCAAATGTCAGATGGCACAATTAAGACAGTCTTGGTAGGAATTATTCCAGCATTCCCAAAATTACAATTTAGTACACGAATGGCGTCAGATGTATGCATCACTCCCACAGAGAAAAATGTTGGAATTCTGAATATCTTCTACCAGAATAGTTTCTGCATCAAATGGGAAAAAGAAAAACTGCTGGTAACACAGCTGACCTAGAAACCTTTTCTGGTAATGACCTGCAGAACAAAATATTTCCCTATTTAACATCTAGTAAAAAAAAATATGACTTTTGTTCAAGTTTAAGATTTAATACTTTTATATGGTTAGCCACAACAGGTATTAACCTCAGTTTTACTATATTTTTGTAATGCTACAAAAATCCTATAAAATCAAATTATAGTGAATTTTTCAGTGATTATAATTAAAAAAGCGCAGCTTGTACAAAATAAAAAAAATAAGATTCTATACTCTAATGAAAAATTTAAGACATTTTTAAATGAACAAAAGAAAGCACTTGTTAAGCTCTCCAATATTCAATGCATTCTGCACTTATCTGAAATAGCCAGACAGGAGCTAGAACTCCACTCCCCTTAGTTCACAACTAGTAATTTTGACACTATTATATATATATATAGAGGATCTATGTCTGATATTTTTACAAATAAATACAGGATAAACCATATTGCATAGTGTGTGCTTGCTGTCTGAGTCACACTCCCAAAGTTTCACAGTTATGGTAGGGAATTCAATTTACAATTAGGGGCTGAAACATTGACAGTACACGGAATTTCCTTGGAAAACCAATGGGTTGGGTTTGTGATTGCTCAGTGAACTCAGACAAACAACTCTTGCCATTCTTGCCAGCCATGAAACCAATTCCACTGGACAACTCTGTCCAGCCAAGCAAAAAGCAACTGTTAGCTGTAACTAGGACCAGGAGAGATCTGCCTCTAAAAAGTTCTTTTGTTGTTGTTTTTAAACCAAGTTCCTTCATCCTCAGTGAATGTCAGAAGGTCCAGGTGCTGTGTGTTTGCAGATAGGCCCAGTGCAAACACTCCTGGAGTTTGGTTCCACCAAATCACCCGTGGCCACGTCACCAACTGAACAATGGCAACCCTCCAGTATGTCACTGTAAGGTAACTTGATTTTCCTGCTAAAACTAAAAAAAAACTTAATCTTTTTCAACAAAAGGCTTATCAGGAAGTTAAAAGAAAAAACCACCTCATTTTTTCTCAATCATAACCATTTTTATGTGTTGGTTCTTTGATAGCATCAAGGTATCTCTGAATCCTTCTGCCCTGCCGATTTCAGCAGAGCACTGGGATTGGATTCAATGCTTACAGAGAGTTTATGGCTTGGATCCTATGGCTCAAAAAGATTCAGTATCCACAGAGTAAGCAGAATCTAGAATAAAAAAACCCCTACTGTTGTGAAACACCAGAAGTAGACTTTGCACAGTTTGACTAAAAGATAATGCAACGTGTGGCAGGCAAAAAGTGACAGGACTTGTATGCAGCTGCATGATCATCTCCACACACACACACACAGCACCCACACTCTAACCTAGGTAAAGCTCTGCAGATTTTAACCCTTTCACCAGCTATGTTCATGGAAATGCTTTCTCTTTAAGGCAGGAAGTATTTAAAGTAAGGTAAAGTTTTACCTTTATTTTATTCTTTGTACCTGTAAGTCAGTTGTACAGATCGTGACAATTTTAAAAACATAAATAGTGTCCTTAAGAACATGTTTGCTAAATTAAAGTTTTTGCTAAAGTTCTGACCCACTGTGGAAGACATTCACTGAAAGGCCATTGAACACTTTTCTCATACAATCAGCAAATTTATTGCCCCAGCATAGAAAAAAAATGTTGATAAATTTAGAAATGTATAATGGCAGGAAACTACCATAAGCAAAATTTCATTAATAATAATAATAATAATAATTTTAAAAATCCTCAAATTCTTACCCACTGGTTACAAAAATATTTGATTTCCTTATACTCTGGAGGATTTGTCTGTGTTTCCTGTGGTACTTCCTAGAGATTTCTACTGACCTTGTGTTCTGCTCACTGTTGATCTCTCTGTGGGTAAGAATCTGAGCTGCAAGCTGTGCCCAGCTGTACCAAAGTGATGTTTCCCAGTGAAATGTCTGCTGAGGACAGGCATGAAATAAGCAGGACGTGTGTGAGCCCATGGCTTCCAGTTAAGCCTAGAACATAGCAGCACTGCTGTTTGATTAAATCCATTTGTCTGTGCAGGAACAAACGGGGATTTCAGCTGGGGAAGCAGGGAAGCAGTTCTCTCCCAGCCCACACTGCCAGGCTGGTCAGTGACTGATTCCCTTATTGATTGGTTGGTTCATGAGGAGGAGGAGGAGAATCAGAACTAGAGCCTTGAACTTTCTTCACAGCAACCAATTCAGTTTGCCTTTTTCATTTTGGGATACTTTCCATAATGAGCTGAATCAAAAAATCTATTTGAAAAATATATATATTTTTTTTTATATATATATATAAAAAAAACTCATTATGTTTTGAACGTGAAACACCAATTAAGTTTAGCTTTCCTCTTTGATTCCACCCCATTGTAGGAAACCACTTAACGAAGCTTGCATGCTAATTACCCCTCAGCTGCAAGCCTGCAGGCATTCCAAACTCTGCCTAGTGAAAGGGCCAACCCTCCTCGACACATTCACGACTACACCAGTGATTCTGAAGCAACATCCTGCCCCTTAATACTGTCAGTTTCGAGCTCTCAAGCTGAAAGATCCTTGATAAGGTGAGAAGATGTCACTGGAATCAGTAAGATGATGTGCCTAGAGTTCTGCAATACCATTTGCTAAAGTTTGTTTGTTTTTTTTTATGCACCATTGATTGACAGGAAAAAAAAAAAATCCGTTTTTCTTTGCTTTCCAAGTCTCTCTGTGCAATGACCGATTCTTTGATACTGTCACTTTTTAAAAGTAAACCGAACAAGCCCTCAGATTTCAGCTTGGGGGGCTCCTGTCCGTTGTGGTGTGCACCTGGCAGGGCCCTCGGGCGGGGCTGTCATAGGTTCATGCGCAGGTGCTCCGGCCGTTTGGAGATCATGGGGAACGCCTGCTTCTTGTAGGGCCCAGAGTTTGGCTGCCGGATTGGAAGCGGTGCTGAAGCCTCTCCACAGACGGTCACATCCATCTGCTCCATTCCACTGGTCTCCATCGGGTACTCCACGGGTGCCTGGGTGGTGGATGCGCCGGCAGAAGCGCCTCTTCCCCAGAATTCCCCAGGGGAAAACTTGACAGGGCTTTAAAACAAGAAATA